TTTTTTTTTTTTTTTTTTTTTTTTTTCTTGCCAACAACTGCAACATGTTAACTGTACAATCAAAATAGTTTAGAGGAAATATTTTTACATAGCTGGACATCAGCCTTCTTTTATGAATGTACTTCTTCCATGTAGCTTACAAAGACCTTCTGACCCGAGAAGAGATAAGGAATGCTGCCTGGCATAAACCTGGCTGGGATGAACTAGTCTATTATACAGGTAACAGCCTAACTGAATTCAAAGGAGATTGGTGGGGGGAAATGGAATAAACACTTTTTATGACTGAGTTGCTATAATATTTGCATAGTCATCATAAATACTTCATGTCCCTTGAGTATTAGTCAATGCTGTTAGCATAAGGGACAAGAGGTTGTATTTCACAAAGCTGTGAAAGTCACTAACTTGCTATAGGAACTATACCAGGAGTAAATCTTTTTATTAAAGAACATGCATCAAAGGAAGAGATCTGTCTATCCAGAATAAATGCACAGTAAATAGAGAAACGTAACTTAAAATGAACCCGTTATATTTTCATTGTAGCAAGCCACAATATTTCATGAAATACTGGAGCCCTGTTAAATTCATTCCTTTGAAGAGGAATGAATTCATTTGGAGCCAGGATCTACAAGAATTTTGGTATCCAAAACAGCTTTCATAACGAATCTAGCATATAAGGGCCATGTTAAATGCTTTAAATTGTGTTCCATGGGGTAGATCACAAAGGAAATACTGCATTGTAATTAGGGCTGTGCGAAGCTTCGGGTGGTGATTCAAGTCGGAGGAGATTCGGCCTGATTCGGTGGCCGAATCGCCAAATCGGAATCGAATCAGGGGACCAATTAAAAGGTCCAAATTGATTCAAAGCTCTCCCGAATCTTTGGAAAAGATTTGGAGAACTTTGATTCGGGCAGTCCCCGCCTGCTGCACCAGGGAGCTGCAGCCAGACTCCATGCTGGTAAATACTGGGGGCAGGGGAGGGGCAGCTGGCGGAGGGGGAACCCCTGGCAGCCCCCAGCCCCTGCCCATTCCCCAAGCCCCCCCATGCCTGCCCCATCCAGGCCAGCTCTGGCTCTTTAAGGAAAAAAAAAGACCGAGAAAAGCCCTGGGACTCGGTGCTCCTGCAGCAGCCTTGGGGTGGGGGGGCTCATGCAGAGGCACCCATGTGGCACTGGGTGGTGGGGATCATCCCGTGCTGGCGGGGGGGGGTGTTCTTAAAGGGCCAGAGCTGCAGCCGGCAGGGCAGCCATTGCTGGGCTGTGAGAGCAGGTTGGGGGATGGGTCTGGGTGATTCGGATGTTCAGCCAAATGGATTGGGGACAATGATATGAATCACCAAGTCAAATCACTGGCCCCCAAATCATCCGAATCTGAAGCAAATACTAGCTGCTTTGCACAGTCCTAATTGTAACTGTAAGATAACCTTGAGTTGTAGTGGAAAATGATAGAGATTTGTCTTCAAAACCCTCTAGTGCAAATTAAGAGAACAGTTTTATAAGCTTGTTTCACCTGTTGCTTCTCTCAAATCTACTGTTCTTTAGTTATAGGTTGTTAAACTGATTGGTGTAATTTGATATCAGCAAATCTCTGTGTAAGTTAAGTGCATGAATAACGACAAGATCTTTATTAGTAAATGAGTCCTCCCTGTTTCCCTTTTTCAGTGCCCCTTATTCAGGAAATGGAGTCCA